AGTATAGTTAATTTTACTAATATATAAAACAAATATTATCAAGAACGTTGTTGTTGTTGGATAAATTTTATTTTATGTTTTATTGTGTAGGTTCACAATAATATAACTTTTTGTAAATAGATAATTAAAGACATTAATGGTTAAATTTTTTGCGTTGATAATGTTAAAAGTCAAATTGTTACAAGTAATTTTGGAATATATAAGAAACTTATATATCCATTCCTATACATCAATTTGTTATTCATGTGAATGAGGGATAGCTCAAGTGGTTAGAGCTTCTCTCTCGATTCCAAGAGATCTTGGGATTCATTCTCATTACTTTGCCAAACAACAAAAAAAAATAAAAAAAAAAATAAATGGATAAATAAATAAATAAACAAAAATAAAAATTTGTTATTCACAAAATTGATCGTGAATCAAATTAAAATCAATAATAATAATACTTGATACATTAAATAACTATTAATTATTTAAACCGCAAAAAAAAATTAGTCAAGTAATGAGATAATAAGATCGAGCTAGTTCGGGTCAAAGAACATGCATATATAGAACGACATGACATGTGTAGCGTTACAAACCAACCTGAGACGCCATATTTCGTGTGGCGTTTATGTTTGGTTGATCATTGATGGAACTTTATGTTATTGTTGTGCCATGTATATACTCTCATGTTCCGATTCAAATGTTTTATTAAATTTGCCCCCACAAAATTTAATAATTTGATGAGATATGGAACCCATGATGTTTGTTAATGGGACCCTACCCAAGTCGATCAAGGACAGCTAGGTTTATTATATACAGTTGCCATGTAATATAAGATGTGTAAACTTTCTAAAAATAATAAATTATATGGAAGACTAATAAGGACTATTCGAACTATATATATAATCTTAGATTATTTTTTTTTTTTGAATAAATATAATCTTTTGTTTAAAATAGTTTTTTTTTTTTTTTTTTGTGGGATTTTATTCTATAATTAGTAATGTTGAGGGCCACTCATCCACTTGAATTGATGTACGAGAGAACTTCACAACTAATGGTGGGCTTAAAGGGATTTATTTTTGTGGTGATAATTCTTCAATATTTCTATAAAAGTTGTTTAGGGTACAAATAACTCTATTTATTTAAGTCGGTAAATTTAATGGCCAAAGGCCTAAAGTCTGCAAGACCCTCTCCAAGCCTAAATCAGTCCGATTCCATTGTGCAATCCCACTTGCCACATAGACGAAATCAACCCACTCATGCTGGGGTCCACGTTTCCGAGGTATTAATTCCCCTAAATTCCATCAAACAAGGTATTCACAAACACTTCACATTTTTTACACTTGCATGCCATTGAATTCACTTTTTAAGCTTTCAATCACACGTACTGACTTAGATATCGGAGGGGTTTCTTCGAACACATCCCCAAGGCCAGTTGATTGATGTACTTTCTTGTGTAGGTGATATTATATTCAGCCCACCTTCATACAGTCCGAATCAGTTTTCAATCCACGAATAAAGGTCAAAGTCTTGAACACATTGTTTCACCCTAAACAAAAGTTATTCATTCATCGTTCTTGATTCGTTAATTCTTGATGATTCAACGCGAGTATGATATATAATTAATTTAGGGCCGGGTATAATAATATTATTAAAATAAATGCATGCATATTAGTGTTATTGTTAGAGTATCCAATACTGTAATATGTATAGTGATTCTAAATTTTTCTTCTTGAACTCCTAGTCCTTTTATTTGTTTGTGACATAATCTTAAGTTTTTCAGCTTAGTAAATATTAGGCAACTAAAAAATGATTAACATAAATTATTTTTTAAAAAAATCGTCCGACATTGAATTGGAAATAGTCTCATAAACATGAATGAAAATTTTAATTATGGGTGCATAATTATAGGTAGACATGGTCCATGAGGTATGATGACCTTAATAGTATCGTATCTATTATTGACGTTTTAAGAAGTTCCAAGAGGTATATTTGAGATTTCAAATGTATCTTTATAACCATCCATTAATATCTAGCGGATGCATGATTATGGACTTCGATAATAAACAATACAGTTATAGTAGATTACTGGTTACGTTATTTCATGCGGCATATAATATTAATTATAATGATCAATTTGATGAGGGTTTTATTGAACTCAATTATGATTTAATTAATTAATGGCACGACATGAAAATTTGACAATTGAATAAAAGATTTGGTCCCTCGACTTTGGGTCATCAATACTAAGAGCTATCCATAATACTAACCCTATCTATGTTAAAATGTCTTTAATGGATATTGTAGCAACAAAAACCAATATGAATAAGGAAAGGTAGAAGTTCTAGAAGATACTAATAAGATCAGATGGATATGAATAACAAATTGTTATAACATGAATAATGTAAAAGTGAGAAAAACTCTCAAATAAATAATACAAATAAAAAATAAAATATAATCCGAAAATCACTGACAGTATATAAACATACACTAGGTGGAAGTATTTAAACACTCCAACTTTCAAGCAAGAGGTCTCTTTAATTAGTTATAACATCCAATTTTAGGTTAAATGGTATAGAAACTTCTTAATAGTTTTGTGGCATATTTAGTACAACTTTTCTCTTTTACAGCTTCATATATACCTTAATCCACCATTGGTCCGAGGAATAGTTATAATTGTCCAAGAAAGTAGGAATTTGATAATTACATTTATATAATTAAAGTGGGAATACGTGGCATTACTTGAGTTTAGTTAGTCAAATTATATCCTGTATCATTCTAAGTTACTCCGAAAACATCCCAACTAAATCATCAAATTAATTAAAGACACTCTTACTTTATACCTCAAAAGCTAACCGATGGGCATGCTTGTCTCAAACTTATATTCAAAACCTATTTCAATTATTATGTCTTGGATAAGCTCATTCATTCACAATTTTATGATAATTATAATTGTAAGTAGGGAAATATTTAGGAAATTAGGAGTGTAATTAATAATAATTTTTCACATTGAATAATGAAAAAAAAATAATAAATTAATTTGTAAGATTGTCAAGCTGCTTAGCGTATTTCAGAGTCATTCACGATTGATCGATTTGGTACATCCATAATATTCTATCATCTTCTCTATCTTAAGATAATATCCTTTTGCATGTAACCTTAATGCATCTTTAGAAATACTTTGATGTCCTATATCCATGGAAACTCATATTAGAATGTTTCGAGATAGTAAATGCTATTACGTATTAAACTTAATTACTCCATATAATTCTGTAGAAATATAGACAGCAGAATTCTAATCAATCGATCTTCAAAATTTATTGGAATCTACTCGCTCCATGAAATTGTCTGGTTTCTCTCTTGGATGAGTACAATTTAGATTCTCTTTTAAGCTAGGCAATTACGATTTACAAGTCTTTGTTGCTTCAAAAAATGCAACTCTTTTGTCTTTGGAAATATGTTAATGTCATGGCATTGTTGTCCACCCTAAAAATGTAACAAGTGACTTAAATGTACAACAAATATACTTGTTCCGTGTGAAATTGTTGTATGATGTTTTTGTCATAATTTAATTTTGGTTGGGATTATTTCGTTAAACAACCCCATCACTTTTATAGATATGCAATGTGGTGCCCCCTAATTTACCATAATCATGAAATATAAGCATATATTAGCTCAATTATTGTGAAAAGCAAAACCCCACTTTTATTGACCATCTCTCTAGTTTCCTTCAATCTCTTTCTTAAAGAAACGACGAGAAAGCAAAGGCATGTCGATCAATTATGTTGGAAAAGATTGATGCTACATTTCTTGATCTTCTTCCATTTGTGCACAACTTTATACAGAGTAATCTATGTTTGTAGGATAATAGAATATCCAATAATTTAGGTCATTATATTATATGACTAAATTATGGTTACTTTAAGAAATGACCTTCATCAAAATGAGTATTTGTACAATATAATACGAGTACTTTATAAGTAGTGACTTTTATAAGGTAGTAAGAGATAATTTGGATGCACACATCTCATTAAGAACATCTTATTAAGAACTTGTCAAAGGTGACGAGTTATTTTATAATCTATATACAAGTACATTAGTGTAGACTTGGGATTAATTGATCTCTTCATCTAGGTCTATTGATAAATTTGTTTTTTATGAGCAAAAACGATAGAGATTATATTAGTAGAGATCAATGTCCGTCAAAGTCGTAAGACTTTAAGAGAAAGGAACAAAACATACATATTCATTACAACCCCTTGTATCCCACTTTGCCACTATGTGAGCTATGGAATTTCTCGCCGGTTTAAATGAGAAAACGCAAAAGACTAAAGACGAAGAAAGAGAGTCAATATCGTCAAGAATGAGGTGATAAGGAGTATAGGCGACGTCCAATGACCCTTTGCTTGACACCCTTGCCCCATAACACGTACGTGCATCACTTTTAAGGTGGACCTTATAGAAACACAGCCTCTGAGCAAGCTGCAACCCATACTGACACACTACTGCTTCTGCCACCTCCAGATACCACCCCACTGCGCCTCGCGTCTCACTGCAGCCACCATAACAGTCCCCCTCTCATCCCTCACTACCGCCCCTAGCCTTGTTTCATGGACCATTCTTGAGAGTCCCGACGCTATACTTACTGGGTCAATGCTAGCATTCTCAAAAAAATTCATCACCAAGAGGCCTAAGAGTTCCTCCTTTGCCACATTAGCAGCTATCAACAAGTCTAGTTCTAATGATTATCATCAATTCTTTCGATTATTAAGACTAAATTTACTGATTAAAACTGAAATTTTAACTTCTCAAAAATAATTTTTGCTTATACTTCTAGTGCGTTTATACAGAGTGATTACTAGTTATCCACTTATCCAATTACATTTGATCAAAACTAATTATTATACATTAATACTATTAATTGGAACATAACATAATAATTCAGTTAGGGGTTTAGCATAACAGCCTATAGTCTAGAGATTCTCACACAATGTCATGAGTTAGTATTTAGTCAACGCTGAAATACCAATGCCAAGTTATGAATAGATGAAGGAAAATCTTGTACTACAATTCTGGTATAAACTCTCAAAAGCCTCCCAATAGTACTCCTAATGTAATATGAGAAAACAATAGCTCAAAACAGATTAATATTTTGCTTCTAATTGAACTATGAATCGGACATAATCAAGCTGAGTTACATTTGCCTGTTGCAGTAAATCTGGAAATGCCTAGGAATTACTTATACAAGATGACATCCGATATTAGAAAACTTAAAGCATCGTGCATCAAATATAATTACAAAATCTGGTAGATAAAAGCGCAAATTTCCTGCACTCTTCCAAAATCAGAAAATCAGGAGCACCTGAATCAGATGTAAAAGTTTGACGTTATACGATATACTGGCTCAATGGATAGAGTTTGAATGCCAGTCTGAACTCTCTGAATTCTATAGAGCACCTAAAGAAGCTCGAGCATTTCATTACTTGACAAGTTTCCTCAAGACTGCCTCAGCTCGCTGCTCAAATTTGGGAAGGACCCAATCATGCTGAACGATGTCAAGGCCGTCTTTCTCAGCACCCAAGCTCTATGATTCCACAAAAGCAAAAGCCGTCATTATAATAACGATCATAACAATCAATACAGTAGTCAGGGATTTAAGGGGTAGACAAATTAGTAACTGAATAATAACATGTTCTAGGTTAAAGATGACTCGGACATAGCCTCAAGGATTCAAGGGTATCCAGGTATCATGCACATGAAACAAAAGCCATATGGTATTCAGGTATTGGAGTTTAAATGAGTTTTAGTGTATAACAACTTTGGAGGGAAGAAAGATAGGAGAGAAGAAAAAAAATACTCTCTTGTAGGAATAAAACAAAGGAAACGACAAATGAAGATGGTACTCGTATCTTTTTTGCTTTTTCCTACCAAAAGTTACGAAATTGGAAACATTTGAACTTATAACCAATAATAGGGGGCATAAAATGGATTACTCTACCCTATTATCTCACTCTCCCCTAATCAAACCTGATTTTTATTCAAACAAGCAAAACAGAATACTTTGCTCACACAGTCACACCTCCCTTCTCATAAAATCCCCTTACTAATCATACAATAAGATAACCAACCCTCTAATGTAGTTCATGAATGTTGAGGTCTTTCAGCAAAAGGCGGACAAAAAACCTGTGTAGTACACCTATTGGGCCAACTTAAGAGAAGGAGCTACCCAACCACCACAGAGCCAATAATTTCTTGTTCTCAAGAATTTGCCATACATAGACCCTTACTATCTTCATCAGAAAAGGCATACCTTTGATGGGTCAAAGCCAAATCCACCCATTTGCATCATGCGTTGCGTATCATCCATAGCTAAATATAAATATAAAAAATGTATAAATATTAGTAGATACAAATTATTAAAAGGGCAAAAGTCTCGTTTATACAAATAGGTTGCTTTAAATATTTAATGATCCAATCAAGCTGAACAAAATTGTGACAGTAATAAAAATTTACCATTTTCCTCTCCTAGAATCAAGCTGAAAAAACCACGTAGTCCAAACAAGTTGAGGAAATACCTGAAAGAAAAGAAAATTTAAAATCAATTAACATGGGAAATGAACAACTCAAAAATCAAACATGAAAGCATGCACATTCTCCTAAAAATCCAGCTTCCACAAGAAAAAATCAGCTAGTATATTCCAAATGAACAAATTACCATGATCGGCTGCTGACATAGCTCACATCAACAGTGCTCAAGTCTATACCATTCTGGAGCATTGACCTGAACCTCTGGGTCAGAGGGAATGGGATTTTGGCTGAAAAATCAGCAAAAAGGTGTTAATAGTAAAAAAAAAAAAAAAAAAAAAAAAAAAAAAACTAAATTAAATTAAATAAATAAAAACTCTTATGATGAAATTACAGATGAAATGGACCATAGATATGTTATTCAAAAAAAAAAAAAAAATCTATTTCAGAGTGCATAAAGTGACACTTCCAAGTCAAGGAAAACCTTCAGAATTTCATGTAATCTCTAGAACTAGGGTCAAAAATTGAGAGAAAAGATAACAACAGATGAAAGTTAGAACTCATCATGAGATGAAAGAGCTAAGAAATTAAACATGCACAGGAAACAACAAGAAAGACACCAGGTAACTTTAAACATCAAACACAGAGAAGAGAGATTTCTTTAGAATAAACAGAAGAAAAAGAGCAGACCTGCCACAAATCCAGAGAAGAAAAAGTTCACGAAAGCAAAAGTGAGAGTCTGGAAATAGAAATAGAAGGATTAATATAATAAGTACACAAAAGTAAAGAATCAATTCAATGAGCAAACTAAAGAAACTCCTTTACTTGAGGAATGATCATAGATAAATTTTTCTTCATCATATCCATGGCCATGTTTGGGTCAGAGAACATTTGGGCTTGAGCTTGTGGAGCTTGACCTTTGGGTACATGTAGAAGTCCATTCTCCTGCATTTTTGAAGTGAACTCAGTCAACTTCCTATTTGGCAAATAGTTATGCATAATAGACATGTCAGCTTCATTGTATGGGGTTTCCCTTGAAAAGAGGAGGAAGCGGAACATAAAGTGGAAAACAAATGGGAGAAATCAAAAGGAAAAAAACACACATTCGAAATTTTGCTAAATCAAACTGCTAAAATGCACTCTAGAATAGACAAAAACCATTGGAACTAAACACAATCAGAGTTCTGAAGAACATAAACAGGGCATGGAAAGGGGTGCCTAGCTCAATATATCAATGAAGATGACGTACCTAAATGGCTGCAATATATACCTCCAATAAACCCAAAGAACAAGGATATTGAGGAAATTAAAATTTAAGGAAAGGAAATATGTGAGCAGTCCCCCAGTCTCTTAATAGACTAAATTCATTGTTGGAGACACTGCAATCTATAGTGTTGAAAAGCAACCACTGAACTATAAACAAAGAAAATAAGATATTATTAAAGTTTTCAGCATAAAAGATAAACAACCTATGCCGCACCCTCTTCTTGGACACCCTTTAACCAGAATCCTCATATTGTGCGTGGTGTATAAAACTGAAATTTTGGCACATTTCTCAACCTCACATCTCATTTTGTCAAAAACTGACAAACCATTACCTCACAAATCAAAGAAAATTAGTAGATTGAAGTAGCCACTATGGAGCAGTCCCTTAAAGGACTGAATATATTGCCACTTAGCCAGAGACACTGCAATCTATGCTATTGAAAACAATGGCAGAACTAGAAACAAAGAAAACAATCTTTCATGAAAGCTTACATCATCAAAGATATACAGCCTCTCCCACCCCTTCTCATTGGAAAACCTTCAGCCAGATCCTAAGATCATGTGTACTTGTGTTGCGTATAAAAATGATGATTCAGTTTTTCCAAAAAATGGACAAACCCTTATCAAGCATATCAAAGCAAATGTGTAGATATATAATATTTAAGGAAAGGAACTACTATGTGCCCTTAAAAGACTGAATTCATTGCGAGAGACACTGTAACTTATAATATTGAAAGGCAAAAGCAGAACTAGAAACAAAGAAAATAAGCTTTCATGAAAGCTTGCATCATCGAAGATAACCAACTTTCCTGCCCCACCAAACCTACTCTCTCTCTCTCTCTCTCTCTCTCTCTCTCTCTCTCTCGTGACACTCTTTAGATGGAATCGTTATATTAGATCAAACAAAGTTAACTTAATACTTTGGATAAAAGGATATAGAGAGACGGGACAGAAGGGGAAAGGAAAGAGAGGGGAACTTTAGATAGAATCGTTATATTAAATCATACAAAGTTAACTTAATACTTTGGAAAAAAGGATATGGAAAGAAAGGGAGAGTAGGGGAAAGGAGAGAGAGGGGAAAAACTTCGTTTATTTGGTAAGGGCTTAGGGAAAGAAGAAAGAAAGGGAGGGGAACAAGTTCTCTTATTTGGACAAAAAGGGTTACTAATTAGGGAAGGAAAGAAAGGGAGGGAAAGGGAGGGAAACAAGTTCCCTTGTTTGAGTAAGGGGTTAAGGGAAGGAAGAGGATGAAGAGGGAGAGCCCAAGAGGTCCTTCTTCCTTGATAAACAACATCCTTCAAAATTTGGGAGATTGCATTATGTTTGGATAAGAATATTTGAAGGGAAAGGGAGGGAAGAGAAAATGAAGGATATAATTTCCCTTATTTGGATAAGACATAGGGCGAGTAAAAGGAAAGGAATGGGAGGGACCCATTTTCCCTTCCCTTTTGATAAACCAAATTCCTACATTGTTGGAGAGATTTTGGAAAGAAAATGGAAGTACAATCTCTCCCTCCTCTCCATTTCCTTTTACTGTTATCCAAACATAGTGTTGAAGAGAAAGTAGAGCTCCATTTTATCCATCGTTCTTTTTCCCTCCCCTTCCTCCTTTTTGCCTCCTCTTCCTCCCCTTCAATCATGTTTCCAAGCAAAGTATAGGTACTCCCTCTATTTCGTAATAATCGCAATAGTAGATGTGGCACATAGTTTTAGGAAAAATATAGGGTGTGGGCCAAGAGGAGTTTAATAATATAAAGTATAGTTGGTAGGGATATATTTAATCGTTAATAGGAGAGAGAATCAATAAAAAAGTAGTGTAAGTAGGGTAAACAGGAGAGAAAAATAATAAAATAATAGTTGGTCCTTACCAAATAAGAAAGTGTTGCAATTATGATGAAACAGATGTAAAAGAAAAGTGTTGCAATTATTATGAAACGGAGAGAATACTTGAAAGATAATGATGCAGCCCATGCAGATAGCTAGCAAGAATATATAGACCATTCAAATTTAGTATGAGATCATTGATGAGAAAAATAAACAAGGAGCCACAATTTGCATACAAAGATGTTGATTTTTCAACACATTCCTAAACCTCACATCTCATTCTAAAATGGACAAAACCCTTGTCACACATATCAAAGCATATGTGAGAAATTCTCAAAGTGCAACCTCTTAGTTCACTACATTGTACTTCCTCCGTTTCAAATTAGTTGACACATATTCCTTTAAGGGAAGTTTCTTTATAATTGACATGTTTCTAATTTAGGCAACTTTTATGCGGAAAAATGTTTGTTTTACTCTCATATCACTTCTTTTCTCTTTCCCTCCTCCATAACGAACCCACTTCACTTCTCTCTCCTCCCTTACCCACTATACTCTATCTCCTCTCTCATAGTAGGACCACCCCATTTTCTCTCTCCTCCCTAGCTGCCAGCTTCCTCTCCCCTTTCCACCCTGTCATTCCCAACACCTGTATGAGTACTCAAAACTATTTTCTCATATATCACGAAGGAAACGCATTTGAAGTTTTCCTAAATGACCAGTCACCACACTTCAGTTCCCACTCCATCATCCCACTAAGTAATGACATAAAACCTAATAAAATCCCTAAAATCAAGAATATGCTTCAGATGTTGATACCAGATATATATATACTTGGAAACCTCAAGTGCAAATGAAATCCCGAATATGGCTGAATCCATCCTCTTAGTCTTAAATGCTCCTTAAGTTTGTCCAACTATCCCGTCCACATGGCTATAATCCTTTAAAGTTTCAACAGAATTCATTTTCTTTATTTTCTATTTACATAATTCATCGCCATTACTGTGCAAGTGTGCATCGGATTCCTAAATGCGTTTATATGGTGACTAAATCCTCAATTCACCTATGGCGAGTATTAATAGAACAAGAACTTCAAGGGATGAATTAAGCTTCAACACTCTTCACTTAAAGGTCATTAAGAAAAACAATCAACCAAGATTCACAAGTAAAAAAAAAAAAAAAAAAAAAAAAAAAAACAGCCCTAGAAGGCCAAAATCATAATAGCTCGTATCTCTACTATTGCTAATGCAGCATAATCCTTCTCTCAAATTTAAAATCAATCGCCTTAAGATCTCATATTTTGTTCAACTAATCAACAACAAGCTTAAACTACTGCACATAGCAAGCTACCTATCAAAGTGAGCCACACCCACAACACCATAGTTTAACAAGTGAAAATCAAGCTATCAAAAATGCCGAAACCCCCAGAAAAAAAAGGGGGCGAAATAACAAATTCACCGGTTTACAGCTGAAAGGTAAACAAGTTTCCTCCAAATTCCAATTCAAAAGCTAAATTTTACAAAAATCAAGAGAGAGAAAGAGAGACCTCATTGCTGTAATAGGTACGACGTGCACGAAACGATTTAAGAGGGATAAAATCAGCAGATGACCTCAAATTCCTTGCCCTAATTATCACTTGCCTGCAAATTCAACTCCGAATCAAATTACAACCCAGAAAAATTAACCCAATAAAACGCAATTAAATTCATCCCCAAAATCAAATTAGTAACAAAATCGTAATAGATAGAAAGAGAATTACCCTTCTTTGACGATCTTGCCATCAGGGATTTGGAAGGTGCGCATAAGCTTAGAGACGAAGTAACGAAGAACACCAATGAGAACCATCACAACTGATAAGGGTATTAAAACCCAGTCTCTAATTGCTGTGTCCAATACTAGATCTTCCGCCATGATTCTGCTTTCTCTCTCCTCTTTTCTGCAAAATTTGTAGTTTTCTCAGGAAGAAGAAGACTGAGATGTTGTTCTGGGGTTTTTTAGATTGATTTCAGCAATTAGAAGACTTCTTGATCGAGTGATAGATTTTTGATACGGAGTCGTTTACCCAAGTGAGATTTGAGAGGCCTGTTTTTTTCTTCAACCAAACCGGACCCAATAATTGATTGTTAACTTATATCGAGTATTCGGGTCGGGTTAAACTATCATAAACGGCATGTTTGATGATCATCACTAGTATAAATAGCATAATGAAAATATATATGATTTGGGTAAAACCATGTGGACCAATCAGGACGTGACACGTGTCACTACAAACTTGCCCAAAGCGGGCCAATCAGGATAAGACACGTGGCACGCTGATATTAATATTGAAGGAAAATGACAGCCCTTAAGGGCCCAATTCCCGAAGCATCGTAAAACGGCGCAGCCCACCAAATCTAGGTCTAAGTGACCTACGTAAGGGCACTATTCTCAATGCCCTATAAATAGGGACATTTATCCCATTTTGGGGACACGTTCATTTATTATATCATAAACTATTCTCTTACAACAGAGAAACCTGATCTCGGGATCCGAGAAGATTCACTTTACTTTCCGCATTTCACTCAACTTCGACTCTTACTAACTTGATTGTCGAAGGCAGAACTCTGTACAACCAGAGCTTCCGTTTGCTTTTAGGTACAGGCAAAGAGGATCCAGTCTTCGTAACGTAACTCTCCCGCAGGACACATAAAAACCCTCGAAACATTTGGCGCCGTCTGTGGGGAGAGTACCTCTAAGATGGCTTCTCAAGAACCTGTACCGCCTTCTAAGGACAAACGTCCAGATGCAGAGGTCCATTCGGACCATGATACTGAGTCGGATCTAGAGGTCGAAGTATATACGACCAAAGATGGTTCCCTCATCTCAAAGCGCATCCGCCAGAAAGAAAGAAAGGAAGGAAGGAGCGGAATGCCAACCAAGCCGATGCGAGCACGTCAGCCGGCCAGCCTCAGGCTGAAGGGCTGACTGCTCACATCACCCGTTCAGAGTTCTTGAAGTTTATGACAAACTTCAAGGGCCAACTTTAGAGTCAGATCATGCCCTTAGTGTCGTTCTTCGAAATGCAGAACTCTGGTACTCAACGGTTGAGAAATTTAGCCTCGCCCTGTTCATGGCAGTCAAGAAGTTGAAACCATACTTCTTAGCACATCCAATGGTAGTCTATACAGATCAACCACTCAAGCGGCCAATGACAACCTTAGAGTCATCTGGATGAATGCTCAAATGGGCTGTCGAAATGTAGGGCCTTGAAATCACTTTCGAACCAAGGAAGTCAGTGAAAGGTCAGGCGTCCGCCGACTTCATTGTTGAAATGACACGTTCGGTAGAGCCGAAAAATTTGGATCAGGTTTGGAAAGTGTATGTAGACGGGAGCTCTATTATGAACGGTTGTGGTGCAGGGATTATATGTCAGTCTCCTGAAGGGGACAAATATGAATATGCACTACGGTTCAAGTTTCAAGCTTCAAACAACGAGGCTGAGTATGAAGCCTTGTTAGCCGGCATCCGCATGTGTAAGGCGGCAGGGACAAAGAAAATTGGCTTGGACTCACAGGTGGTCGTTAGCCAATATAACGGTGACTATTATTTTCAAGCCACCCATCCGGCTATGATCAAATATTTGCAGGCGGTCAAGACAGAGGTTGGGACGCTTGATGAATTTCACCTAAGTCAAGTTCCCCAGTCAGAGAACAATCAGGCGGATGCTATGTCAAAACTGGCATCATCCGCCTCCTGTGATACACCTTGGTCTGCCTTTTGGGAAGTGATGGAAAAACGAAGTATCGAAGAAGATCCCATTAGCGTTCTAGACCAAAGTTCGACCTGGATGGACGGCATCCAGGCTTACCTGCTAGATGGCACTCTGCCGAATCATAACCAGAAATGGTTGCAATGAAAAAGCGTGCGGCCAATTTTGAAATTCGCAATGGAGAACTATTCAAGAAGGGTTTTCTATTGCCACTTTTGAAATGCATCACCCCAGAAAGGGGGCATGAGATTCTGGAGGATTTACACTCGGGCTATTGCGCCTCACACATAGGCAGTAGAGCTCTAGCAGGTAGGGCCAGGCGGCAGGGCTATTTTTGGCCGACTTTAGAGGCAGACGCCATGAAAATGGTGAAGAAGTATGACAAATGCCAAAAGTTTGGCAAGCTCGTACACTGTCCGGCAACTGATCTGACGGCAATTCATAGCCCAATACCATCCGCCAAATGGGGCATGGATATCTTGGGTCCGTATACACCTGCGTTAGGCCAGAGGCGGTATATTCTAGTGGTTGTTGACTACTTCACCAAATGGGTTGAGGCAGAGGCGGTCAGAGGCATAAAGACAAAGGATGTCATCTATTTCATCTGGAAGAACATCATCACCCGGTATGGGGTTCCTATGTCTATGGTCTTTGACAATGACCCTCAATTTGAGATGCCTACCCTCAAGAATTGCCTGGGAGACCAAGGGATCTTTCATTGTTTTGCATCAATCGGCCGACCCCAAGCAAACGGCCAGGTTGAAGCCTTCAACAAACTAATCTCAGACAGCATTAAGAAGAAAATAGAAAGAGCTGGCGGTCTGTGGGCTGAAGAGCTAATTCATGTGCTCTGGTCCATCAGAACAACAGCAAAAGGGGCAACCGGCGAAACCCCATTCTTCATGGTATATGGTGCTCAGGTCGTCTTACCCATCGAGTACTATGAGCCGACTTTTCGAGTTATGTTGTACGATGAAGAGGCTAACTGGGAAGCCATGCAACTAGCATTAGACTCCCTGCCAGAACGTCGGGGCAATGCCGCCCTACGCCATGAAATCTACCGTCTGATAATGACAAGAGCCTACAACAAAATAGTACACAAATGGCCCTTGAAAGTGGGAGACTTTGTGTTGCGCAAAATAGAGGCAACCGGTAGGGCCAATGAGCAAGGAAAATTGACACCCAATTGGGAAGGTCCCTATCGGATTCACGAAGAAGTCAGAGGCGGCACCTACCGCCTGGAAACACCAGACGGCAAGAAGCTAGCCAGAACTTGGAATGTAGACAACTGAAAAAGTATTACTTCTAAGACTTGTAAATTTTTGTAAACAAAAGGCTTAGTAATGAGAATTGCCTTTTGTTTTAACATGATTTTTATATTTTATATTCAACTGAACCGTCTATGCTATGTACAAACGGCCAACAAATTAGAAACGACTCCGAACGGGAGAAGTACCATCTGTGCTATGTACAAACGACCAACAAATTAGATACGACTCCGAACGGGAGAAGTATTGTCTGTGCTATGTACAGACGACAAATCTAATCCATCTGTCCACTCTGATAAAGTGAGACATTCGGCTACATCCATCCGGGTGACTTCGCTTACAGAGAGCATCTCCCATTTGGATGGCACATTGCTCTATAAACTAATTTCGCAAATGACTGCCATAAAATGGAACAGTAGATGAACGTTTGTAAATACCAACACCAGTCGACAAGGTAAAGTGAGTCGTCAGCCCTATGGGATATCAGGCGGCCTCTTACCATTAGTACGACAGAATTTACGATTAATTTGACTTAGTTGATTTCACAATTAATTGAACCAACTTAGCCAAGCATCCTTCTCGATGAGAAGACTCACTTCAAAAGAACCTATAAGCACAGACAAACGGGATCATACCGCCTGCCTTTTGTGGAAGAAGTGGCCTAAATCGTTTGTACCTATAGGCATCCTGATCAATTGATCTTACACTCCTAAAGACTAAGTTTAAACTTAGCAATAATTATTAATCGTACAATGTTAACTAAGACAACGATTGTTTGAATCTATCAGAAGCACGCCCGTCCTATCGAATGGATGCGGCCGATGACTGTCTGATATCTAAAAATGTACCGTTTGCTCGATGGGAGACTGACCACTTGGTTTGGGGCAATCACCATAGTGATTGATTGACTTTGAAATTAGTCATACTCCTTCAAGTATAAAAAATTTCTAAGTCAATCAACCCATCTTTTAAACCAAGTGTAATACAGTCGTCCAGGGGTAAGAACAACTGGTATATATATATGTAACATAAAGATTGCATGCATAGAATTAGGCAAGTTAAATACTTAGTCAAATTCATGCATAGAAAACAAATCCAAGAACTTGAAAATTTTGAAAGAATGCAAAGTAGTGAAATAAAACCGACCACACAGTCGGCTGATTCATAAATATTAACACCGACCCCACGGTCGATCAAAGTTGAAATTGTTAACCGGTATACCAACCGGAAGAAAGAGAAACATCATTGTTTAACCCGTCTCCACAGTCGTTAAAAGAGACATAATTACTCGGCACGCGGGCCGGAAAAGCACAATACTAGGCCATCCGGCCAGAGGAAAGACATAAAAGCTTAACTATCAGGGGGGAACTCCTCATCATTGGCAGCCGCCATATCAACATCCTTGGCCGGCTGCAGCTCTTGCTCCTCCTCAAGCTCAAGCTCCTCCTCATGCGTTGAATCGGCCTCCTCCTCTAACCCTTGCCTGCATCTGGCAAAATCATTCTATTAATAACAGTCGACATATAAGTTAGAGAAAATCTACCAACTCAAATCAGTCTACCTCAGCAAGAAGAGTGAGGATGACATCGAAATTAAGGGTTCCAACCCCCTCCACAGACTCCCTTTCAGTTGGGGAGACGACCGTCAACATATTTTTTGCCATCTACAGCACATCCGGCCCTTGGCTGCCATCTGCACATTCAACACTTCGTAAGTACTTGATATAAGCTTAACTTCTAGACGGGAACTCTTCAGAGCTGCTGGGCAACTATTGATAGGACTATACCCTACAAGGGTAGGGCAAAGGATTAGTGATTGTAATACCTTTGGGGAGGTCTACCTCTCTTTACTTCAAGCGCCTATCCCTGAGCCCGCTTGCAGCTGCTGAGCCGGTAGCAGCGGTGAGTGGCAGAAAATTAGATTGATCTTAAAAATCTCAATATTCATACCGAAATTAGATTGATCTTAAAAATCTCAGTATTCATATATATTACATTATTTACTATTCTCTTACAATAGAGAAATCACCTTATATCGGGATCCGAGAAAATTCACTTTACTTTCCGCATTTCACTCAACTTCGACTCTTACTAACTTGTTCGTCGGAGGCGGAACTCTGTACAACCAGAGCTTTCGTTTGCTTGTAGGTACAGGCGAAGAGGATCCAATCTTGGTGACGTAACTCTCCCGCAGGACACATAAAAACCCCCCGAAACAATATACATTATATCAAATCTTCACACTAATGTCCATTACAACCCAACATCAAACCAAACTATTAGGTGGTATTCGATAGTAATGAAAATTTGTGTAGAAAAAGAGATATTTTGAGTGACCTATTATTACTAATTTACCATGGTAATGGACATTGATTTATCTCATAGTTATAAACCAAATTAAAATCCACACTATTATTTATAACCACTTGTCAAATGGATAATCTAATTGGGTTTTGCAATTGGAGTAGTTGTTAAATGCCACAATAGTTGTATCTGCATACAAAATTACAAAATGCTCCACTTTTCATTTTACAGTATTAGATTATCTATTTAAAATTACTTTATTTTCCGTATTAGTAACATAAAGTAAAGAGAAGTTCAAAGCTCATTACATTCTTTAGAGAAATCTAACTATACATACTAAGTGTATAAAGATTTTATTAGACAAAATACATGTGAAGAGGGATGAGTATATATGATATCCTTTGTAACAACACTTTATAATTATTGAAAACTAACTAATTAATACCTATATTTAAGAACTCGTTAAAGTTTCACACATTGATTCAAGGCATCAATTTCTTTGTAATTTTTTTTTTTTTTGCAACATTTACTTATTAAACACGTCTTTCATAAAGTGAATTATGATCTTTGCTTGATGTGTTATGTGTTTTGTGCCTTGGACTTGACTAGATTCGGTCTATGTGCCCACTAACTATCATCCCATAATATTCAAAAGGGCGACTTAGATCTGACCTAAGTCCACGTATCGACGTATCGCAATGCTATTTATGCATGCACTATAATTAATATATTAGCACGCTTTGTCGTGTCGTGTTATGTCTTGTAATACTTTTTCAAAAAGTGTGACCCACAACTGACCCACAATTCGACAAACACAATAACACACATACCATGCCATGAGCCAACCCGATCAAGTGTCACCTTTACATGGTTACATTCACAATCGAATTGGATCACTCGCTCACTCAACACCAAGATAGACCTAAAGTATAGCACAACTGCACAAGAACCAGATCCAGAAGCCCCATGAAGCTAGGACTCACCCACCCACTTGAACCAGAAATCCTACAAAGTCAGTATTGTCCAAAGTGGGAGAAATGAAAGGAAAGCCAAAATGACCCAACTTCTAAACCTTAGCCTTCTTCCCAGCAAAACCCCAGCTTTATCTTCTCTAATTTCCTCATCTCGCCATCAAAATTTTGCTGCTTTGAGTCTCCAATTGCGCTGTAATGGCAGATTTTCTTGCCTTTTCTCAGATAATCGAAAGCAGGTTAACTATATTTTCTTCCCCCTTTTTTTGCTGTTGATTTTGAGTTGTTATGAGATATTATTGTCTGGGCATATTGTTGAATCTATATGTTATGTTGAAAATAATTGTTATACCTTGATATTCTCAATATAGTGGTTGTAACTTGAAATGGGATATTGCTATACCTTGATATGATGATAGAATTTGGCTGATTTTCTTGCACTTGGATTTCCGGGGTCAATAATTTTTCTGAATTTTCTGGGAGATAATTACGAAGTACAATATGTGTTTTCCTTCGATATTTAAGAGTTTAAGTTATTCACTTATTTATATGATTTTGCTCTATGATGCTTAATTGATAATATTATGATATTGAACTGACTTGCAGTAGCATATAGTGAATTTGCAAGCTCCACTAATCAATGTCTATAGAAACCCTACTTAATAGATTGATGTAAATACATAATTACTACCTGGTTGAAATGATGTGGCCGAAAGGTGAAAACTTGTTTTCGTCTAAGGTTGTAACTGCCTTTGTCCTATGTACTAAAATTGTGATAGCTACTTTAACTGTGTAAGTGAAGGGATGCTGTGAGCCTGTACTAGCGCGCTATCCATTTGCACAGATGATTTGTTTGAGGGAGGTAGTTTGATTGAAATCTCCCTCATGAATACCCGTGGTTCACTCGAGTATGCATTTTTCATGATCAAATTTCAATTTGGCTTATTAACCAACTTAGGTGTGTGTATGAGTGAAAATTAATTAACAAAATGATAGATATATTTGATAGTGGAAGTGGGAGAGTTTGGATGAAAGTACACACCAACTCTTTATCGGTACCTTAATATATAACCTATCCAACTAGCTGGCGGTGATGACCATCACAGAAGTGTAGCCTTTATTCATTACCTATATGTACTTCGGATACCAAAGAACTGGATTTGGTGGCTGAATTCCTCCTAGCTAATGATTTTTTTTTTAATAGTATCTGTAATGCTTGGCTACTTCTTTGACTTAATATTTCACACAAATTGTAAGAGAATATAAATCAGAAAGAACAATTAGAAAATTGAGAGAGGTTCGGCTGCTTCTTGATTGATAAAGTTGAGAACTTTCTTACAAACGGAGGCTTGAGGTCACCACTCTCCTAGGTGGCTTCAGGCCACTACCCTCCAGAATAAGATTGCCACAAAATACCTAACTAAGCCAATCCCTACTCCCCCTTTAAGCATACGTACACAGCTCATTACAATCAGCAAAAAAGGCCAGCTAGGCTAGCACAAAAGGCCAAGGACTGGCACAGGCATATCCCATATCTGACCCCTGCAGCAGTCATTTGTTGTTGAGTGACTGCCCACTGAAATTGGTGTGCTGCTGCTGATCCAAACCTCTTGCCCCAACGGTCTGCAGTCCTTTCTTGTGCTTCCTTTCATAGGTGATGATACCTTGGGGCTGCACCATATGGGTCGTTACAGTATCCTTTTCCCCTTCTTCCCCTCCTGTCAAACGGAATTGGATCAGTACTTAGAAGCTCTTAAACTGCTGATTTCTAGAGCCTAGTCTGTAGATGTGCAGCATACTGTGAAAACTTCCATTGATGTGGTCCCATGTGGAATAAGAAAAGCATGGAGAAAATCCCTCAATAAGCTTTAGCGATGATAGTTAATTTTCTTACTATTTATACTAAATTTAAGGCAGTGTCGAAGTGCATTTCACACGGAAACATTGCCCCACATTTCCTCCAGGGCTCCAACCTACATTAGGTGTTGCCCATATTGGGTTGAATCGCAATTGCAACAAGGGCTATCTGTTGGTAATTTCTAAGGAACATACACCTTTTTAGAATGAATTATAGTACATATATGAGAGGCTTTCTAAAAGTGACCTGTTTCAGCATTCTCAGGCATGCATCTCATAATTGATTCATCATTATTACATCTTTATATGTTCAGATTGTTCATATTCTTTTTACTTGTTGGTTGTTTGACACTCCGCTCTGGGCTGTCTACTACTACGTATTACTCGTATATATATATATATATATATATATATATATATATATATATATATATATATATATATATATATATATATATATATATATATATATATATATATATGTACAAAGTAGCCGTTAGTTGATCTCATTGTTGTTGCTTAAGCTCATTTTCTCTACATATGAGAAGTATACTAATAAATTTAACCAAAATCACCATGGGCTAAGGTTTTGAGCTGTCTGATTGGAAAGGTTACAAAAAAAAAGACATAATTTGTAATGTAGTTTCCTGATTAGAAGTCAGCTTCCCTCCTTTATGTGTACTTGGTTTTTTTCCACTGATAATGTATTCTATTTTCTTATAAAAGCTACATAAAGAAAACTTCTAGTTATCTGTAGTATGGAACTTTATAGGGTGGTCTTACAGTAGAGTACTGTCCTTTCATGGCAAAACATCTTTCGGCATATGCTCTTGGAGGATCCAATCTCTCCCTGCAGTATATATGGCATCTATCAAATTTTACATTTTTATGCCTATCAAGATTCTAGTGCCATTCCCTGCATCTTTTGAATATTTGTGATTGTGTATGCTGGCAATCTAGTAGCATTGACTTGGCTTTTTGCAGGAGCAAGCTAGGAAAGCCTTAGAAAGTGCACTTGGTGGAAACAAGGAAAAATTTGAAAAATGGGACCAAGAAATTAAGAAGAGAGAAGAAGTTGGCGGAGGAGGAGGTAATGCTGGTGGTGGAGGGTGGTTTGGTTGGGGTGGGCGATTTGGCTGGTCTAATGATGATAACTTTTGGCAAGAAGCACAACAAGCTTGTCTTGCTATATTGGGTCTTCTTGTTTTGGTATGAAATTTATTTTTCCTTGAGTACAGTTCAATCATCTCTCCTCGTGTTCTTCCTTTCTTATGTTTTTCCACCTTTGTGGATTGCATTGTACAGTACCTTGTAGCTGCCAAAGGAGACCTGCTGCTGGCTGTAATCATCAATCCCCTTCTGTTTGCCTTGCGAAGTACAAAAAACGGCTTCACTTACGTTACATCAATGATAACTGGAAAATCATTTACGGGCAATGATGCACAGTTTGAAGAAATGAAACTGGAGGCAGCCCAAAGTAGTGCTAAAGAGAGAATTATGAAGAAATGGGGATCTGATTAACAATTCTAATATTCAATTGGAGAGCAAGTAGATGTGTAGAGCCATTTCGGTGCGTAATCTTGCTTGACATGAAGTGTCTGTATTGCATATATGCATGACATTTTTGGTTATAGCCCTTATAGGATATTTTGGACCCTTCATTTTATTGAAACAATTCTAATACAGGGATAATGCCAAATTGTTTGAGATATACTCTATTCATTATGCTCGAGTCGTAAGAACTGATTTTCCTACTCTAAGAACTGATTTAATTTTGGCACGCTCTTGTGAGAATGTTAATCTAACTAGTGCGTTGACCAAGTTTTTTTCCGATCAGGTTAGAGAATCGTGATTGATATAAGATTATATTTCCTTTTAGGTACAACAGGAGAAATAAATAAGTATGAAGTTATACTTCTATTTTCCTTTCACAAATCATCATAATGATCTGTATGTTGTTAGTTGTGCATTGATTAGGTCTGTGGGGTTCTCTTAATTGTTCATGGGGGAATAAAGGCTTGTTTGCCGTACATACCGCTCACTTGAGGGGATATGCCACCAACCTCCGGTTATCTTGTTATTAATCATTGCAAATTATTAAGTCAACCATTAAGCTTAATGAGCTGCAACGATAGAGGTACAAATTCTTGTATAAGACGAGTGTATACAAATAATGACTGTCAAAGTGTTTAGTCATCTAACACGAAGCACCAAAATAAAACTGTTACGGAGTCAAATCAATTTTTGCTATTATAGGTATTCCTTCTCTAAACCTTTATTCTCGGCAATTTTTTTAACAGTTTTGTTACTGTTGGTTATAAGGAGCAATGATAAGTTCATCTCCGATATTAGTAAAAAACTTACCTTTAATTCTCGACATATCTCACTATCTCACTGGCGTTTTAGATTTTTCGAATTAGGAAAAGATTACACAGTACATTAAAATTGGAAACCTTGAAGATTTGATCATAATTTTTTTTTGGAAGACTTGAAGATTGGACTTTAGGAGCAACATGTAAAGTGAATAGAGTTGTTAAGATAAAAAAAAAAAGAATTGTCCTGCTTTAAAAGTGCACTGCATGATCTTCTCCTGCACTATCTTCTCTCATATTTATTCCTGATTTTCGGATCACCACATGACTAATTCCAACCTTTTTTGCACTTTCTAACTTTCTCTCTCCTCTGTTTTTCATTCCTTTCTTGGTGTCTCTACTTTCCCCTAGGCTTATCCTTCTTGGGTTTTTCTCCATTTTTGTTATTTTGCAATTTGCTGCATCTTTTTCTAGGATTCTTTGACCTTGGTCACACTCTTTCTGTGTTTATTTAATATTACCATTAAAAACCCAAGTAAAATATGTTTAAAAAATATTTACTTTGATTTAGATTTGGTGATTTTTCGGCTCCCTTATTTGTCACACATACCCTCCATTTTATTGGGTTCCTTTCAATTGTAGGGGTTGGTAGGGGGAGCCTTAAAATTCAAAAAAAGTTTGTTTTTTTTTTTTTCCAAGGTTTTCTCTTGTATTTAAATTTGGTTTTCTGAGAATTTTGGTTGTTTTGAAACTCTAAAAACCATGGGTTTTGATGAAAATAAGCAAGAAATTTCTGGTGATTCAACTGATGTTCTGAATGTCAAAGAAAAGGAAGAGGGTGTTAGTGTTAATGAGCCTAACAAGGAAAAACTAACTAGGAAATTAAGTGAAGATTCTGTTCTTAGTATTGAGGATGATGAAGATGATGATGATGCTGAGAGTAAGATTGATTTGGGTCCACAATGCTCATTGAAAGATCAGTTGGAGAAAGACAAGGTTTTTCCTGTTTTCAGTTTAGTCTTTCCTAAGGCCCGTCGGAATTAGTTGTCACGTTGACAGTGTAATCTAAACTAGTATCGCGACAATAAATTATGACCAAGGTAGTAGCAACAAAGTTTTATTGTTTGTGTGCTTATTTTGTATCTGTCTTGTGCTCATGGCTTTAGGATGATGAAAGTTTGAGGAAATGGAAGGAGCAACTTCTTGGCAGTGTGGACATTAATGCAATTGGAGGTAATGAATTTGAAATCATTTTTACCTTTTATATATGTGTTTCATATGAGTCTCTAGATTGTTATGTTAAGAGTTAAACCTTAGTTAATTCTATACAAAAAAAACTTTAGTTTGGGATCTAAGTATGTAATTCTTTGATTCAACTTTTTCACATTTTGCCACTCGCAATCATGTTCTTCCACTACGTTACTCAACTTCTACATAATTTCCTTGTATGTCTCGTTACTAGGGTAATTGCACATGCTCATGAGTCATGATCTTTGGAACCTTCAAAATCCTAAGGAGTTCTTTTTGTCTCTGTAGAACATGGGCCTATCTAAATCATGAACACCTACTAGAGTTCATCTATGTTGAACATATACATTGATACATTTTCGATGTGAGAATAGTTCCATAATATTGATTTAATGTAAATTTTGTTGGTGAAATACATAGATACAACTCTGTTGAAATAAGCTGTTTAATTTGTATTTTGGTTGCAAGCTCTGCCTGTAGTTATAATCATCATTTTTATATTGCTGATTTTGTAGCTGTAGCCTTTATAGGAGTACGATGTACTATATTCCTGCGTAGTTTGAGCCTAGTAATCTGTTTTTTCAGTATAATCCATATAACGAGTTAGGTTTTCTTTCCATGTCAAAAGAAAAGGGAGTATGATGTAGTTTAAAGTTTACTATTTTCCTTGGTAGAAACTGGCTGTTTTTCTTACATGTTGCTCCATCTGATTTCTTGACGATCACTTAATATTGCAGAAACTCTTAACCCAGATGTAAAAATTTTGAGCCTCGCGATTAAATCTCCTGGTAGAGATGATATTTTGCTTCAGATTCCAGAAAATGGAAAGGTGAAAGGAAACTGGTTTACACTGAAAGAAGGTAGCCGCTACAGCCTCCAGTTTGCTTTTCAGGTCAACCATAACATAGTTTCAGGCCTCAAGTACACCAATACTGTTTGGAAAACTGGAGTTAAAGGTAGATACATTAACTTTTTGGTGTTAACATAGTGGATGAAATCCTAGATTCTTTGGTCCTTTTTCCTGAAACTGTGCTTTTTTTTCAACAGTTGATAGCACGAAAGAAATGCTCGGAACATTTAGCCCTCAAGCAGAGCCATATAAGCATGAAATGCCAGAGGAGACCACCCCATCAGGAATTTTTGCTAGAGGATCATATACAGCTAGGACAAGGGTGAGTATCAAACATCCCCCTCTTAGGCTGTTATTTAACTACACAACTTAATGCGAGTATATCCTTATCTCATTTAATAGTAGAATCATCTGTAGGCTGAGTTGGTTAGAGATTAGGGGATGGCCAACGTGACAGAGATCGTACTTGGTTAAATACACTATTTAAACTTGGTTATTAGATTCATTTTAAGCCAAAATCTTTACCATGAATCCATGGTTCATAGCATAGAAGTCAATGAAGTAGACAGGATTCCCAATGTCTTGACTCTCTTGAGTGACCATTAGAAACCATTCCAGCTAATCAGCAAACAATTTCTACTTCATCCATCCACCAACTTTTTCTTTGAATCTTTTTACTAGCCTTGACCTAAGTGCCCTCAAGCAATGTTAACATAGCTTTGGAACGGAGGGTATACATGATTCGGCCAATTTGATGTTGCCTCGTTCATGGAAACTCCTTGATAATTCATTTCCAGGCATCAATCTAAATGGAAGTTTTCTCCGTCTTTTGTTTGAGGGTGATAGGTTATAACGGTCATTTTTTGTTACTACCAAGTTATGGGTACATCATACTTAATTGCATATCTTATATTAGGCCAAAAATAATGTTGTGAAACCATTGAACTCGTGTGTTAATTCAGATATGCAGTTGCTATTCTTTTCTGTCGGACCACATCTGCAACCTGGACCCTGTGTATTAAACTGACGGATCATGGAATTTAGTTTTGGCTGACATTTTCTTCAAAAGCATGCAAAAGTGTCATAGTTGTCAATTACTGCAGCTTGTTACTCTTATGTTTTTCATTTCAAATTTCAAAAATGCCATACCATACTGATCTTGCACTTGTTCAAAAAATCTTGAGCATGAGTGTATGATTATTAAAATATTTTATTTCATTTTCTTGACAGTTTGTTGATGATGACAACAAATGCTATTTGGAGATCAACTACACATTTGACATCCGAAAGGATTGGTAAAACCCTTGATACTGCCCATTGGTTCTCGATGGTTGGTGATCTTGAAGGTTATCGAGTATGTTACTCAAGCAGTTGGAAAGAAGAGATCAACTAAAAGGCAGCTTTAAATCAACAACCTTTCCTGATCACTTGACCTAGACTTTGCTCCACTTTTAATTTCTTTTTTCTTCAGCAATGTCTCCATGTGTGGAACTTACAGTGTAAAGGTTCACATTGTGTTGACATTGTTAGCTAAACTGTCAATTGACATTTCTGTTGTTTTCGGAGCATTTTTAATAACTATATGTTGAGAGGTTTGAAAAGTTCCGTCTTTACATATTTTAACTCGAAACTACCCTTCTATGCAGTCTGAACAATCCCAGATTCCTGTAATTCCGATCTATGTACGATCTTTTTAGTCTACTTAAAGTTATCAGCCTCAGAATTGTTTGAGCATTGCTTTACTATGTTTGTACCAAGGGCTGTTATAAGCTACTTAAAGCAATTCAGCAAATGTGCACTTATGTTAACTTTTGTTTTTAGAAGCATTCTTTTCTTATGATTGTCTATTTCTTGCTGCTTATTATTGGTGCCTCTTTTTGTTGTTGGTCGTTATAACTACCATGTCTTCCAAACATTTTTCAAAAGGGTGCCCTATTCTAATAATGTCATGGAATCCTATGCATTATTCTACTAAGTTCAGTATAAAGCTAAGCTTTGGCATGTAGGAATTACTCTCCATATTCCACATGTAGAAGTCACTTTCTATAATGGCATATTGTCTTGGAAGGGACCAAGAGTAATAGGTGTAAAGACCTGGCAAATGGGTCATTCGGGTCAGCTAACATTTGGGTCGGGTCAGGTCGATTTTCGGGTCAACTTTGGGTCAGGTATCGGGTCAAGTTCGGGTTGGGTATGTTTGGGTCAGGTATCGGGTTGGGTATGTTTGGGTCAGGTATCGGGTCAAGTTCGGGTTGGGTATGTTTGGGTCAGGTATCGGGTCAAGTTCGGGTTGGGTATGTTCGGGTCATATTCGGGTCAGGTCAAAATCTGGTCGGGTCATGTTCGGGTTGTTTCATTTGTGAAGCAAGC